CAAGATCTCATATTTCCACGTGAAGCCAACATGGTCAGTGGGTGCAGGCTTGAGTGTAGATGTGGGTGTGTGTTGTTACACCAAAACAAAGTGAGTCCAGTTACTCTAGGTCCAAAGACAGCCGAACCATCCACTGCTGCAGTAAGAGAAGCTACTCCCTAAAATACTCAATCCATTCGAAACACAAACGGCAGCAGGTACAAAGTTGAGCACAAAAACACCAAATAATAACAGCTAGCACTTAGACAGCGTCTTATGGCTGGCAAAGCATTTTACAAATATTACCTTGTTTTACCCTCCCAACAATCCTGGGAAGTGAATGCTATTATTATCCTCATTTCACAGATGAGGAAACTGAAAGGGAGGTGAAATGTATGCCCAGGGTCATATAGCTAGCGAGTGGCCACATCTGACCTCAGGTCTTCCTGACTCGAGGTGCACTGATGCCCCCTGTGCCACTTGGATACTGCTGAAGCTCTCAACAAAGCAAAAAGGCCTGAATTTAAGTCAGTTTTCTTGCAGGCCAGAAAGAGAAGCAGATTGTAGTGTAGAGAAATAAAGAAGGTGCAAGACAAACCAATCCCCAAGACTCAGCTGTTGATTTAGGAAGAAAAATACTTAGTGATGCCACAGAGGACCCTCCCCAAAAATGAATGGGACTGTTAGTGAGCTGTTTGTTGAACCAATAAAAAAAAGTGAATGGGGTAGCTCCAAATACAATGCTGACTGATTCTGTCTGACAACTGTTTTGGCTTGTTTTTATTTATTTTTACTGTCCACTGAAGCATGCCATTCCAAAAACTTACTCTGTCTTGCATTACTGTACAGTTTAACCTCACTTGGATTTCTAAAACATTGAAATTATTTTATATTATTTTTTGGACAGAAAGATTTCTGTCAGGCCTTAAGGCAGCTCTCATTACAGTTTATGTTCTTACACATAATTGAATCACATTCCTAGCACTGAACAGTTCTTAGCCCAAGCTATAGAGTTCACTCATTTTTGTTTAAGTCACAGGGGTAGAGAACTCCATATGTGGCCTTCTAGGTCCTTGGGTGTGGCCTTTTGACTGAGTCCAAGTTTTATTAAAGGGATTTGTTCTGTGAAGTTTGGATCAAAGGGCCTCACTCGAGGACCTAGAGAGCCACGTGTGGCGTCGAGGCCACAAATTCCCCATCGCTAGAAGAAATAACCAAGGCATACTGACATCTTACTTAGCTCTTCCCCAGCACTGATCTCTCAAAATAACAAAATCCTCACCATTTCTTTGAGAAACATAGCTTTGTCCTGGGCTCTCTTTCACTCATAATGACTTCTTTATAACCTTAATGTCTTGCTATGTGTGGGATAAGACTGACGAGTTTCTTCTTTTGATCATGGAGGAAAATCTCAGAACAGAATTCTACCTTCCTGTATTCAGAGACAACTTTCTCAGGAATTTGCTTTTCTAAATTGTAACCAAGCTGGACCAGGCCAAACCACAAGCAAGGAGCTAATCACTGGACACTTGGGAAGCCTGCCAACAGAGGCAGAACACCCGTATCTTCTTCTATGCCTACCCCACATTTATTCCTCATGCCAGAGATTTGAGATATGCTAATAATACACTTTATTAAAACCAAAGCAAAGAACAGTCTCCTAATATTATCCTTCCCAGAGACAGAAAGCCACCCAAGATCAAACAATACAAAAACCTGGTCCCAATCCCACCTCTTATCAAATCTCTACTTCAATTAAGACCATTGCCTTTGCCTCAAAGTAACAAACAAGAAAAAAGTCAAGAACAAGCAATTTTTAGCTAATATCCTGAATATGAAAACAGATGATTCTTTGGAACCACAAGCCTGCAATGAGTACCAGTTATTCTAAAAAAACAAAATTGAATCTTAAATCAATGTATCTCCTCCCCATCCCCTGCCTTCAGGACCTAAAAAACAGAAAATCAGCTAGCAAAGAACGTCAATGAAACAGATTCCTTTTATGAGCTTCAGCCCTTTCCAAATACACTTAAAATGTTTGCTTTTCCATTAGGAGCCATTTAAGTGAGTGATCAATACTACAATCCAGTAACAGCTACTTGTCCTTGTCCTAGTTATGAATGCAGAGACTTCACTATTTACTTACCAGCCACATTCGGGAACCTGGCAATAATCTGTCACTCCCTTTACATCTAATGCGTATGGAGCTTCTCGAGTGACAGGAGGTGCCATATCTGCAAGTGCAAACTGCAATAGTAATTGCAGATGCATATTGGTCTAAGCCTAGTATCTTCAAACAGTATCACCTGATGCTGAGCTGCAAACACATAAAATCATCAGCTCTGACTGATCTCTAGCTTCTGAAGCAAACCACAAATACACAAGTACTTATTGTGCAATCTAATTTCCAAACACAAACTTGTAAGAAGGGAGCCAATTCTTGTCCACAAACAGTGCTAAGAACAGTTGTCATGGGGGGAGCACAGCTAAAAAGCTTTCCAGTTTTCCTAGAAATAGTTTGAGGACTGCGTGTCACCCTTCCATCAGTTTTTTCAACACTTAACATCTCACTCTCACTGTTCTGAGCAGAAAAGAAACGCTAGCTTGAAGGATTTCATTTTGGGGCACAACAGGTCCTAAAGGAATGGGCAGAGTAACATGAATATATAAAGATTCAGCTCTCACAGGAGTCAAACAAATAGTTGCTTAAAAAAAAAAGATAAGGATTATACTCCTCCATTTTGAAAGGCAACTGAATCACAGTCTCATTCTAGTCTTCTGACCTTTCAATTCCTTCTGTCTCCTTTTTTTCAGCTCCTCACCCTTCTCAAATTACGTACCTCAACTCCTATGCTTGTCACTAGGTGTGCCACTCTCTAAGAAGTCTACTAGACTGTAAACAAAAATAAAGGTCCCCCTGCCCAAATCATCCAAAATTGGTCAAATATCAGTGCTTAGAAGGCAAGGAGCCTGGCTTATCAGGATCCCCATCAAAAATAATCTCAAAAACCATGGAAAAGAAACAAAATTGCTAGAAAATTCCATTAGAAAATGACAACTCATCAAAGAGCTAATGAGCAAACTAAAGAAGGCCTCTGATGCAATAAAAATACCATGGGAAAAGGGGGTAATGGGAAAATATCAGAAGAAAAATACACAAAGCAGTACCAGAAGCTGAATCAGGTAACAGAAACACGCATTAAGTGCTTTAATAAAACACACGGAAAGAATTCAAGGAAGAACTGGATGGACAATGGGAAAAATGTCTCAGAAGATGAAAAAATTCAGCACAAGGGAAACGAGAGAAATCTGAAAATCCCAATGAATACAATAAAAACAAGATTAATACAATACAAGGGCAACTATTAGGCTGAAATAAAATACCAAGCTCAGAAAAGAGTTCAATTGGGTAAAGACTGGGATGTGATAAATACAAAAGAGATGGTTTGGAGGGTGGAGGAAGAAAATCTCTATTACTGAAATCCTATAATTACCAAAGAAGAAAAGAATTTGATTGGTATACCTTAGTGAGTCAAACAAGAAATTTTTTAAAAGACCTCGCATAATCTCAAGAGAGAAAACTCAAAATGCTCATATTCACCAGCAAACTTCAAATGTACAAAAACAAAGAAAAAATCCTCAAAACCATCAGGAACAAAATGACTTGTTGGGGGGAGAGGGGAACCAATCAGGGTCTCACAAGATTTTTCTCCAAAAGTCAGAAATGATTGGGAAAAAAAACTGGAACATGAGATGACTCCCTACTCTCAGCAGAGAAGTGATAGAGTATAGGTATGGAATGAGAAATATTTTGTCATACATGGCCAATGAGTGAGTTTATTTTGCTCATCTATATTCTGTCACTTCAGGAGGAGATAAGAGTCACGGGAAGGTGAAGCAATCATTTTAAGCACCATTTATTATTAAATGTGTATTTTTTTAAAGTTCAAAAGACATATTAGAAAACAAACAGATTAAACCATTATTGTTATTTTGCTGGAGCCTTTTCTTTTACTGAAAAGTAATAAATCACATATTCTGGCTTTACTTGGGACTTTACTCCTTATTTTATTTATTTCATTATTCAAATTTGCTAGGGTTGTTATTAAGTTTCCATGCATGCATGCACACACACAGACATACACACACATAACTACAATTAAATTGGTGTGGACAGAACAAGTCTCATGGCCCATTTTCAACAAAGGTACAAAAAGACTTGACTCACCCTACACATGGAAACTCTTTTTTAGAGTATACACTGCAAGGCAGGGATCTCTAGCTCAATATACAGAAAACTCAAAATTGAATCCTTAGCAAAAGACTCTTAATATTATCCTGATAAATTTTTTTTCACTGTTTGAAATTTAAGCTCTACCCCCAAACTGAACTAATACATGCTTATAATTTCTTATAGTTTAGAACTTATAGCTTCTTATAATTTAGAACCAAAATTTCTCGTTTGAATCATCCACTACAAACTCAGGATCATAAGCTACAAAGAAAACTATCAGGACCATGGATAGTAGTCAAGCTCCAATCTAAACTCAATCCACCGGGCTGTTAAGTAAGACTATGCATTGCTCATGTGAAAAAATGAGTCCAAATGATATCAACAATTACAATCATTTAGACTTGCACAGTGTTCTACAGTTTACCAGAGTTCTCTTCACAAGCCCTCTTGTGACACAGGCAGGACAGGCTGGTGTCTCTACTATACCAATGCATATTTTCCAAAGTGACTTTCCTAGATGACAGCTAGTAAGTGGCAGAGCCAGATCCGACATTCAGGTCACATACTCTTTATCCTCTACCACCATCTCTTACAATACTCTCTTAGGTTCAATCTAGGACTCAATCCATTTATTTTTAGTTAAATTTCATTTGCACTGACCCAAGTAGCTCATTATTCAGGGACATTCTTTTGTACCAATACTTCCTCCCTCATCTCCCCTCCACAACTGTCCCCACAAATGTAATTAGGTCAGCCATAGTACCCTATTGAATTAAACATCTCTTACTGCCTGATGGATGTCCCTCTTCACCTGATCACTCAACATGCTGTCGAAGACAAATGAATCGCCAAATTTCTCAGCCTAAAATGAAGGGGAAAAATAAAAATCTTTTAGTGGCTATACACATCAGTTTCTTCACAACCACCAAAATAATTCTTTGTGAGAGGCCTACACTTGGACTTAGGAAATTTGGGTTCAAGTTCCAGCTTGACTATTAGTTATGCAATCTTTGGCCATCCATTGAGCCTTAATTTCCTAACTGGTAAAATGAAAACTCTGCTTACTTACCTTACAGATGTGTTATAAAGATTTAATGGCATAATGTATTTTAAAACAAAAAGTTTATGCTTTCTCACATTTCCTCAGAAGACCCACTGGAAAATATCTACCCAGATGACATCTATTTGGTGCAACCAGTGAATTCACAAATTGAACTGACTGAACTCCTCCTAACAAAGGGCCTTGCACAGTGCTTGATAAACTGACAAATAATTTACCTTCCAGAACCACACAATTTCTGATGACAGAAAACCTTCCAAGCATCCCAAAAAAACACTACTCTGAATATGTAATACTATCCTATCCGTGGGATAACAGGGAATACAGAGCATTGTCCTCCCCACTACCCACCACACACAGATGTAACAGTATCTAAGCTTCGGGAAAACCTTCCTGGTGGAACTAACGATAAAGCCCACAGATGGAATCATGATGGAAGAAAATTGGACAGACAGAGATATGCAAATCATCTACAAAGAGGTGATAATTTAAATCACAGGAATGGATGAGATGACAAATGGAAAGAGAGAGAAGAGAAGGTAGCCTAGGGCAAAACTTTGAGGAATCTATATTTAAGAGGCAGGAAGGGGACAAGGAATCAGAAAAGATGTAGTCAAAAAAGTAGAAAGAGAAAAGAAGGAAACAAGCATTTATTAAGCACCTACTAAGTGCCAGATATTATGCTAAATGCTTACAAATATTATCTCAGAACAACCATGGGAGTTAGGTACTATTGTCCCCATTTTACAGCTAAGAGAAACAGAGGCAAACAGAGGTTATGTGACTTGCACAAGGTCACACAGCTAGGAAATGTCTGAAACTGGTTTTGAACTCAGGTCTTCCTGACTCCAGGTCCAGAACTCTATCCACTGTGCCAACTAGCTGCCTCTAGGGGTTGAGGGGAAAGAAGAAGGGAGAAAAGTATATCAGGAAGTAACTGACATTAAGAAGAGAAATTTTTTAAAAGGAGGGTAGGGGAGAAGGAAAGCCAGATTTAAAGTCGCAGGACCTAGTTTGAAGCCCAGTTCTAATACTTACTATCTGTCTGACTTGAGGTGACTAAGCATGTAAGCATGAGCCAAAGCTTCCTATCTGCCAAAAAGGGGATGGAATAACACATGTGCTATCTACCTAACAGGGCTGTTGTGAGGCAAGTGCTTTGAGAAACTCTGAAGTGAGCTATAATTATTGCTAATGGTATTATGAAAATTAATAGAATTGCCAAAGCATTGTGACCAGAACTCCTAAGTGACAAGCAACTACCCAAGCTTTACAATGTGCAGCTTGAAGCCAGAGACGCTATAGGGCCTACATAGAGGACCAAACTGAGCCTCTCAGCCCTTCATTCTTTTGCAGGAAAAGTGTCTTTCATCTCCAAAGGTCTCGAGATAGAAAATGCTATCCACATCCAGTGAAAGGACTATAGAGTTTGAATGCAGATCGAAGCATACTATTTGCTTTTTTTTTCTTCTGTTTTGTTTTGTTTCTTCTTTCTTGTGGTTCCTCCTATTGGTTCTAATTCTTCTTTACAACATGACTAATGTGAAAATATGTTTCATAGGAATGGAAATGTAGAGCCCCTATCAGATTGTATGCCACCTTGGGAAGGGAAGTGGGGAGGGAAAGGGAGAAAATTTAACACTCAGAAGCTTATGGAAGTAATTGTTGAAAACTAAAAATAAATTAAATTTTAAATAGTGTCTTTGTTTTATCCACTCTCTATGGCTCAGAAGCAGCTCAAGACAGCTAGATGACAGCCATCCCATTGTCTAGTTTTCCCACTCCAAAGAACTAAGGCACTTTAAAAGGGGCTGTAAAGAAGCAGGTACTCACCTCTGTCACATAGCCAGTGGAGTTCACGAATTTCTCAAATTCAGCATTACTGACTTCGTACAAATCCATGTAAAAGGAGTTAATTCTGACCCTTCTGGCAGGTCCTTCCCCATCCTGACTTATTTGAGGATCATCTGTGCCCATCGTAAACACACCCGCAGGAATGTGGGCCATCTGGAAAAGAGGTAAAAAACAGGGAAACGTTGTGCTGTTATTTCACTGTGCAGGAGGAAGAGGACTGGATTTGTCATCAGAACACAAGGGGTCTAACAACGCCTGACTCTGGAGCCTTGCAGTCCCTGCCCTTCTTTAGGCCTCAATTTCCTCAACCGGAGAATAAGGAGTTATACTTTTAGTTCTACTATGAATAAAAGATGAAAATGTCTTTCCTTCAATTAGTAACGTCATCTTAAACTCCACAAATCAGAAAAACAACTGTCCTTGAAAGTTACCATAGCCACTCTCTTAAAATCAATTCTTCCTAGAGAAATATATTCAATTCCATGTTTCCAAGTAAGTATTTCTATTTTCTGTAAAGGCATTGAAATGAGAATCAATAAGAAATATTCCAAAGAGCAAAGAGATCAATTCACAAAAAAATTAATATTAGAAAAGGCACATTTTTTCCAAAAACTTTTATTTTCTTATATTATTTTGCTCAATCCTTAAAAAATGAGTCCTTCCATTAGAACACTATAGGTTCGTCCTCAAAAATCCCCTACATGACTTAGAGGAAGTAAAACAATTTCATTCTTTCCCTGAGTCATTTCAAATATTTTATTTGTCAAATCTTTTAGGGTAATGAAGGAGTAAAGGAAAGGAATAAATGGTATATTGAACTAAATTGCTGGAAGCTTTCTAATACACCGTAGGGCAGGAAGGAACCTTACTAAGCCAGTCCAATCCCCTGATGTTACTGCTCAGTAAGGTGGGGGTGGCAGAGATTGGGCAGCAGGAAGAAGGCGAGTAAAAGGGCAAAGAACACAAAAACCACTCATCAACCAACATTTAACAAAAGGCTAGGATCACAGAATGTTGAATAAACCAGCTGCTAAGAGTTCAATTTCTACTTCTACTTACTCAGTAAACAATCAATTAATAGAAAGCATTTATTAAATACCAATCTACCAGGCACTGCGCTGGGACCTGGAGATAGCAAGATAAAAATAAAAACAATTCCTATCCTCAAGGTGCTTACTTTCCACTGGGAGAACACAGCAAGTTCACAAATGACTAAATAAAAGAGGCACAAAATAAGATAACAAATGTTTTGGGGGGAGGGGGTAAGACATCTGGAAAGGCTTTTTAAAGGAGGTAGCACTTGAGCTGAGCTTTTGAGGGAGGCAAGGAGGGTGAAGATTTCCAACATGAGGGGAACAGACTATGTATACAGAGGCAGAGGTATACAGAATATTATGTTCACCAAACAGCAAGTAGGGGAGTATGGAAGGAAGGGGAGAAAGATAGAGAGACACAGAGATAGAGAGAGAGAAAGAGAGAGACAGAGACAGAGAGACAGAGGCAGAGAGGAAATACATTGATAAGTCCTAGCAACTGATTGGAAACATGGGTTTAGTGAGAGTGAAGAGCTGCATATGACTTCTAAGTTGTGAACCTACGTTCCTGGAAAAACAGTGATACCCTGGACAGAAACTCAGGGAAATTAAGAGGAAAGATGGGTTTAAGTGGAAGGGAGGGGATAAGGGGGAAGATATCATTAATAATTCTGAAAAGGAAACAGAGAAAAATCAGAGAGGTATTCCACCGACTCTCAGATATGATATTTGGGTCCATCTACTCCATGTTTCAGCTTTCCAAAACACTTATATGTAAGACATTCAGGGATCTTTCAGAAATAGGTATTTAAAGTTAGAGTCAATATCAGAATCTTGTTCTCACATGATCTATCACAGTGAGAAATTTACCGCTAGATAAATCTGTCTTCAATGCCAAGGACAAGCAAGTACCTCAGTAGAATAAAATCCCCTAATTACACAGCTGTAGAGCACAGACAAGACCACTAGGTAGGTAAGGCAAAGCAGATTTAACCTTTTTTTAAAAACAAATTTCCTAATGCCTAGAGATAGCACGAAGTGTAACAGACCGCCTCCAGAGGCAGTGGATTCCCCAACACTACAGGTCTTCACAAAAAGATCCATATAGTGTTATCATGAGGCCCCAATATAAAATACTAGGTCTACAATTCCTTCAGATGTTTATAAGACTCTTCAATCCTTAGAAACTCAGCTTTCTCTTGCAATAACTTGATCTCTACTTGCCCATCTGTCCTATCAAAAAAAATGGGAAAATGTTATCCATAATATAAAAGTTTAAAAATTAGTTTAAAAACAAACCAGTGAAGTTTTATAAAGGATTTAAAGAAGGGGGGAAAAAATTTCCCTCAGCAGACACATTGGTCCTATTATTAGAATAGCTGTCAATTCCTCAGTTCAAAAGTGAAGTCAACACTAAGATGTGCCAATTTAATTTAATAGATTTTTTTTAAAATTACCTAGTTTTGTTCCCTTATCTTCTCCCGCCTGAACGTGAATAACAACAATTCTAAAAATTTCCATTGTGGACTCCTGTCCTAATTTTTTTTTCTTTTATTGAGAAAATAAGGCTACAGAAGACAATTTTCCATTCTAAAGGTTGTAGATAAAAATAACCTGTTCTACCCTGAATAAAACATGCTTCTCAAATTGAACTAATGAAGTGAATGTTGTCCCTTCTTACAAACAAAAAGTGTTCTGAACAGACATGACAAGCCACAAGTAGTCTTTGGCATTTGAAAGTCCCTTGGACAGCAAGGAGATCAAATCCGTCAATACTTTAAAAAATTAATTCTGGCTACTCACTGGAAGATAAATACTGAAGCTGAAACTTCAATATTCTGGCTACATAATGAGAAGATGGGACTCACTGGAAAAGACCCTGATATTGGAAAGATTAAAAGCAAAAAAGGGGATGGCAGAAGAATGAGCATGCACTTGGACAGACTTCGAGAGACAGTGGAGAATAGAAAGGCCTGGAGTGCCATGATCTTTAGGGTCATGAAGAGTTGAACACAACTGAACCACCGAGAAACAAAACATCTTTGCCATGGGGGCAGCTGGGTGGCACAGTGGGTAGAGCACTGGCCCCGGAGTCAGGAGGACCTGAGTTCAAATCTGGCCTCAGACCATAATACTTCCTAGCTGTGTGACTCTGGGCAGGTCACTTAACCCCAATTGCCTCACTTTAAAAAAAAAATTTTTTGCCATGGTCTGCAGCCAAGTCTTGCCAAGTGCAGTTGTAACAATGCACAGAACTCTCAATTCTTTCTTTCTGGGTCAGCAAGTCAGTAGTAACATTCCCCCAAAAATTCAAATGGGAAGAAAGCTCCCTCTGCCCACCCCTGGTACTCTTCATTCAAGTCAGGTTTATGAATGACTGAGGTAAGTGAAGAAATCATCCTGTTTTCCCATTCAAGCTTTATAGTGACTCAGAAAAAAGGATGCATAAATAACAATAATACTAGCAGCTCATAAAGTGCTTCCCTACAACTCCATAAGCTACGTTGTGCATGTATTTGTGGTGTCCATTCAACAGATGCAGAAACAACAGCTCAGCCAGGTTTAAGATTTGGTCTTAAGCAGCACAGTGAAGTGGTTAGAGTCCTAGACTCAGAATCACAAAGACCAAAATTCAAATCCTGCCAGACCTCCTAGCAGCTTGGCTATAGGAAAGTCACTTAATCTTCTTCAGTCTCCCCAAACTCTAGAATACTTCAAATGGTTACTGATTGGTTATTGCCAGTCTCACACATCTGATAATTATGAGAGCTGGGACTCAAACCCGAAGCACAGACACTTCATAAATCTCACCCTTTTTCTCCTCCTTCCTCTCTCTCAGGATGCATGGCGTGAGGGCTGCTCATTCACCTTTGGCATCCCCCTGGCACTCAACTCTGACCTGTGGCTCCAAGAAGCTGTAGCACGTGCAGTGGCCACACCCCAGTAACACCGTCTCAGCAGACGGCTAAACCAGGCTGAGGGTAACCAACAGTCCTCCAACCTGTCTGTGAGTTAGCGGGGATATCTACCCCAAGCACGTGAAGACTTCCATTGGAAGAATGGGTGGATGAGAACAATTTGTGTCAACGGCCATGAAGGCAGCTGAAGTAGGTGCTGTGGAGGTTTAGAGCTTGGTCAGACATTGAAGATGCCAAGCCACCCGCTGCTTCCTAGACCAAACTTTTGTCCCACCCTGGACTTCGATGACTCTGGAAGAGAGAGTGAGGCTGACGACTTGATGCAACTCTGCCCCGATTAAATCCAATTCACTCACAAGTCAAGACATTATCTGTGATGTCACCGGTTCTCTTCAAAAATGAAGGAGAAACAATATTCAGCATCAGCAAGAAAAGTAGAGAAACTTGACTTTAAATGTGTTATAAGAGGAACATGTTCAGCCATTTAGCCTCTAACCATTCTCTCCCTCCCTCTCCCCACACAGAGACAATGAACACTAACCTCTTTACCTTATCGCCACTTTAGAGGGATTAGCAAAGCATAGACTATCTTCAGCAATATTAAAAAACAGACTAATCAAAAATTCAATTAGCCTAGGACCAGAGTGAACAAATTATTTTATTAAAGGGATTTGTTCTGTGAAGTTTGGATCCAGTCAAAGGGCTTCACTTGAAGACCTAGAGGGCCACATGTGGCCTTAAGGCCACAGATTCCCCACCCTTAGCTTAGAGTCTATTAGGAGAATAAAAAAATGCACAGAAAAAACTAGAGTAAAATGCAATTATGTTTAAGTTTGGAGGAATTCAAAGGAGAGACTATCCCAAAAGGGAAAAGTTCAGGGAAGATTCATAGAGCAAGTTTCATTTCAAGACAACTTATGGGTAGGGAAAGGGGCAGTATCATTGACTGTAAAATCTGGTCTGAATTGCACAAAGTGCAACCATTCATATAATTTTATTGTCCTCAAATTTTGTCCCTTAAATAGAGCTGTTATGCTAAGAAATTTCTTAAGGTTGAAACTGCAAAAGGGAACTGTTTTGTTTCAAAGTACTAGGATTTACAGTCAACTCAAGATCATTTTCACAAAGATAAACTTTCATCAAAATGGATTTTCAGCCTTACTTAAAACGAAGCTTTCAGTTAGAGCCTTCTGATGTTTTCCTCCAAAGTTTCCTTTTAAAGCAAATTGGCATGTTGTTGTTGTTCAGTCATTTCTCAGTTGTGTCTAACTCTTCCGCACCCTATTTGGGTTTTCTTGGCAAAGACACTAAAGTGGTTTGCCATCTCCTTTTCCAGATAATTTTTACAGATGAGGGAACCGAGAAAAACAGGGTTAAGTGACTTGCCCATGGTCACAGAACTAATAAGCTCTGTGATATGATTTGAACTCAGGAAGATGTCTTCCTGATTCTATGCCCACTGCTCTATCCAATGCCAACACCAGTTGCCCCAAGTTGGCATATACAATGCCTTATGTTCCAGAACTCTCCTTACATGTCAAGCTAGCCTATATATGGCATTTCACAGGTTACAAAGTACTTTTCCACCATTCAAGTTTTATTTTCTTTTCCCCTCACTAGTATTCTCTTAATACATCATAAATACTAACACAGTACTATCAATGATTTTACTAATGAAAGGACAAATGGAAAAGTCTTTATCTTGTCCAAGTTCTTACTTTTGAAATAAAAAGCTGAAAAACTCAGGTATTTATTTTTTCCATTAAAAAATTATCCTTGTATTCTGAATATGATTTACTACAGATCTTAATGTGTAATCTTTTAATATCATGATGATCCACCAGCTGGTTGCTATTTTTGTTGAAGGAATGAATCAAAGTCCATGCCTTATATTTCCAATAAAAGTACTGGTTCCTTTAGGGCAAGAGCAGCACCTTATAAATCCTCACATCTTTTGTACTGCACTTATCACAAGTACAGCATTCAATCAAACTGAAAAGGATACCACCCCTAGACCAAGTGTTCTTAACCTTTTTTGTGATATGAATCCCTTTGGCAATCTGGTGAAGTTTATGGACCCTTGCACAGAACAAGATTTTTAAGTAATTGCTAAATTTAAGGTATAGGTTAGTAAAAATAAAGATTTTTTTTTCCCATCCAAGTTCATGAACCACCCCCTGAAATTATAACCACAGATCCCTTGGGACAGACTCCAGGTCATGAAGTCCCTGGTGTTATTTCATTGCATGTTAGGATCACAGGAATAATCACAGGTTACATAAGGATTTAAACTTGGAAGAAACTTTAGAGAAATGTCTAGTACAAAAGAGATACCCACCAAGGACACTGAGACAGATACATCTGACTCATTGAAAGTAGGATAATAGGCAGTAGAGCAATTTTCAGAGTAAGCCCACAGTAACCTTACAATGGACTAATATTTATAGACAAAGGAAAACGGGGGGGGGGGAGTACTTTCTTTCAAGCAATCTATATTAATACTCTAGACAAGCTGCAGCCTAACTTCCCTGAACCTCCATTGCTTTATCTATAAAAGGGGATAATACCAGGAGTGCTCACCTCACAGAGGAAATATCGGTGAGCACATCACAAACCCTAAGGAATGGCAACTATTACCAAAGACCAGTAAGTTAGACATCCTTGAAAACTTGAGGGTTGAATAGTCTTCAACTCCCACTTTGAAACACTAAGGAAATAAAATCCAAAACTCTCAAATTAATAATGGATAATGCTACTTCCCCATTATGACAAACATTAAGAAGTCTAAATTCCTACAAAATCCCTTGAGGACATCCTAAAATAATTAGGAAATGTATTTTAGAAACTCCATAGGGGGCAGAAGGACACAGGAATCTTTCACTTTCAAGGTCCCTAATGGTCTAGAAAGGCTACAACTGCTATGGAAATGACTGATCCAGATAAATATTTAGACAAACCACTTGCATGTTATAAAATGATATCATGCAGCCTGTTGAAAACGTCCTAAGCTACACTTAAAACTCCACTAAGGCTTTTTATATTTATATTTATTGTTATATTTATATTCATATTATATTTATATTTATATTATATTTAGAGCTGGATGAGACTTTGGGGGTCCAGTGCTCACCCTGATCCTCTAACTCCAAATCCAACACTTCTTCATCTATATCATGAAATCCCTCATTTTACAGGTAAAGAAAAATGAGGCCCAGAGAGGTTAAGCAACGTGATGAAGGTCACACAGCTAGTTAGTATCCTGAAGCTCCATTAGAATGTGAACTTTTTGAGGGCAGGAGCCAAGTCCAGGCTCAGCTGCCAGCACAGTGTTCTAACACGTGGTAAGCACCGAATGCGGGTTGAAGCAAGAACCTACTAAAGTCTCATCCAACTAAGACCAGAGAAATCTCAGCTGTACCTCCTCCTCCTGGTAACAAGGTACAAGTCCAAACACTGGAAAAGATTAAATCAGTAGACATTCATTAACTGAGTCAGGAGAGCACCACTTCCAAGCTGCGTGGGATCAAGCCTCAAGGGTAGGGAAAGGGGCAGGATCATTGACTGTAAAATCTGGTCTGAATTGCACAAAAATGCAACCATTCATATAATTTTATTGTCCTCAAATTTTGTCCCTTAAATAGAGCTGTTATGCTAAGAAATTTGTTAAGGTTGAAACTGCAAAAGGGAACTGTCTCACGAGCTTGAAAGGAATCTGAGAAATCACCTCCAACCCCTTTATTTTACAGATGAGGAAACTGAGGCCCAAAGAAAAAGCATCTTGCCCACGGCCACACTAAACAGGCAGTTAAAAGCAAAACTGAGATTTGAAATCAGGTTGTCTGACTCCAAATCCAGAGCTCCTTCCACGAGGAGATGGTATCTCCCCAGACCGAATGCAGCCGGGCCACTCCGAACGCATCAGCCACAGGCCAAACCCGCCTAACCCCAATCCGGAAGCACCGGGGGGGGGGGGGGAGAGGGAGGGAGAGAGAGAGAGAGAGAGAGAGAGAGAGAGAGAGAGAGAGAGAGAGAGAGAAACCTCTGGTCCTCCCGAGTCTCTCCTACGTAGCAAGCTCCCCCCAGCCCGTGCCCAGGGCCCCCTCCCCCCTGCCGCCGACCTGCGGGGGCAGCACCGGCCGTTCGAAGGAGGCCCGCTCCACCACATTCGCCTCCCGGGAGTATCTGTGCGCCGCCGTCCCGGGGCGCTGGGGAGAGCCGCAGCCGCATGTCCCCGCCGCGTGGACCGCGTCGGCTGCGGCGGGTCCGGCCTCGGAGCCCAGGCCCCGGGCCGCCCCCACTGCCCCAATGATCAGCGGCCGCAGCAGGAGCAGCAGCAGCGGGACCCGGCGTGGCCGAGTCAGCCCCGAGCCGGGCGCAGCCATGTTGTCTGAAGAGCCATGTGACCGCGCGGAGTCACGTGAGCCCGGGCCCTCCAAAGGAGCCGCTGGAGCGCATGCGTGCGCCCGCTTCTCAGCCCTTCAAAGGACTGGGTGTGGGAGGTCTGTTCTCGGCGCTCTCGTCGGTGCTTCTCCCTGTTTGGTCAGAAACGTCGTTTGTGGCGCCCGGAGTAGATGCCCAGGAAGTATATACATATATATATAATACACACACACACGCACACACGCACATACCTGCTAGTTCTGTGAACCTGGGCAAGTCATTTAACCCTGTTTGCCTCAGTTTCTTCATCTGTAAAATAGGCTTGAGAAGGAAATGGCAAACCGTTCCAGTATTTTGCCAAGAAAACCCCAAATGAGGTCACAAAGAGTCTGAAACAATTGAATAACAACAAATGTGCCAGGCACTGTGCTAAATGTTGGTTACATAAAAAGAAGAAGAAGACAATCCATGCCCTCAAAATCTCACTCAAGATTAGGTGAATTTTCTGTCTATAATGTGGTGCCTCTCCTTCATCCCTTACAGAATATGAACACTCATTCCACTGCATTCATATAACTTAGTTTGTGAAGGCAGTCCCCAATAACAGGAACATCTCTTGTTTTCACCTTTTTGTTATCACAAATGATATTGTAATGGACATTTTTTTTCTGCAAGGCAGTTGGGGTTAAGTGACTTGCCCAGAGTCACACGGCTAGTAAGGTGTTATGTCTCGGAGGCCTGATTTGAACTCAGGTCCTTCTGCCTCCAGGGCTGTGCTCTATCCACTGGGCCACCTAGCTGCCCCTGTAATGGACATCTTTATACGTTAGTCTTTTCTTGCTGTCACTGACCTCCTCAGTATATAGTCTCTGAAGTGGGATCTTTGGGTCAAACAATATGAACAATTTAGTGACTTTTATTTTACAGGATCATAGGTTTAAAGTTAACAGACACCACAGACATCATATAGTCCAATTCCTATATTTGCCAGATGAAGAAACTGAAATCCAAAGAGGTTAAGTAACTTGACCAAAGTCACGTGGATAATGAGTTTTGGAATCCAGATTCAAAACCAAGTCATCCAACTCCAAATCCAGTGCTCTTTCTACTGTCTCTTGCATATTCCAAACTATTTTCAAGATAATTCACAGCTCCTAAAGCAGTGAAATAGCATGTCGGTTTTCCCACAGGTCACAACAGGTTTCCCCATCACTGCTAGGTTTGTTAGCACAGTGCGCAGCACATAGTCAGTGTTTGATCAATGCTTATTAACTAACTGATGAGGGTGAGGTGATTTTTATTTTTTCTACTTTGAAATTCTTAATATGAATTAAAATGAGTACTTCCATATATAGTAGAACAGAAAAAGATGAAAATAATTTCTACTACATAAAGCTTGCCTTTCTTTTAAAGCATATAATAAATTCAACATTACATTCAAAGCTATCTTGCTTGGTGATTCCTTCTGACCTTCCTTCTGTTCTCTATGCATTTCCCAAACATTTCAATAACTCTTTTCTTTCTTTTTTTGGGGGGTGGGGGAGAGCAACCCTACCCCTTGCTTCCCTTTTACACTCTACTCCTCTGCACTAAGGGAAAAAAAAAGCAAAACCTTTATAACAAATTTGCCTAGTCAAGCAAAACAACTTCCCCATATTGACTGGGGATGAGGCAATTTTTAATTTGCATTTTTTAGCTTCTAGTAATTTTGAACATTTTTTCAGGTGGTTATCAATAATTTCTATTTTCTTTAAAACCATTGATGTCCTGTGAGCTCTTGTCTACTAAGGAATAGCTCTTAATTTTATATATTTCTGGGATATACCTATAGATATTGTAAGTCATACTCAGACTTTTTTCCCAGAGATATTGAATGCTAATTTTTTTCCAAATCCATATCTTTTCTTTTTAATCTAGTTGCATTGATTTTATTGGTACAATTTTTTAAAATGTTGTTATCATTAAGATTGCTTCATTTGTCCTTTTTATCCAAGAACTAGATAAACAATTTATACAATAACATTGTAGAGACAAATAACTTTGAAAGATTTAAGGACTCTGATCTGTGCAATGACCAACCATGAGTCTAGAAGATTAATGATGAATTATACTACTCATCTCCTGACAAAGAGGTGGTGGATTCCAGATGTGAAATGAGACATATTTTTAAACGAGGACAAAGTGGGAAATTGTTTTGCTTGACTATGCAGTTTGGGTTTTTTTCTTTTATATGAGGGAGTGGGGTAGGAAGGAGAGAAAAATAAATATTTGTTCACTGAATAAAATAAAATAAAAAGGAAACATATGGGAAAGAATTTCACAGAATAAGAAGGCATGGGTGGATTGTAATATGCCATGTCAGAGAGTAGTCACATTGATGAGAACACAGATCCTTCAGAGAGTGCACCAGAACCAGCTTAAACTGGCTCTGATTGTCAAATTTTCAGGGTGAGCATCTACACCTCAGAAATCTCTATAAATCAGGGCTTGATTCACTGTGTTGTTTATTGCCTAGACTTTAGAAAGTAATAAAGAAAATGTTAATAATGCGGATTAAACTTAAAAGCATGTCATGGGTACATTTTATATACAACACAAAAAAGTTTTGGGGATTTATAGTTTTATTTATAGAAAACAGAATAAGTATGATGATTCCATCTACATGGAGCTTTATTCATTTTAATGATGTTTACAGTTTTAAACAACGCCTTTAAAAACAAAGGACAACTTCAGTTTTGCAACAAAGAAAGGAAATACACATATAAAGACAAACATTGACAGAGTTTTAAAAATAAAAGAGGACTATTCATTCTTGATACAAAACTCCCAGAAACATTTGGCTAGAGAACTAGATCTGACTGAGGCAAGAAGTATGGCTTGCTATGTGCCATGCACTGTGCTAAAAATCCAAGCAAAAAGAAAACAGAATCTTCAAGGAGCTTACTGGGTGGGGGAAGACAAGTGAAAAGGAGCTGAAAAGTAGTGGGGGAAACAAGGAGAGTAGGGAGAGATAACAAAGCTCATAATCAGCACATGTCTAGTCAAGACTGGATTCCAAAATAGAGGCCTGGAAGGAACTCACCAATGGAAGAAGGGGACCAGGTTGGCAGAAGGATGTTCCAGGGCAAGAAGTTCCCACCTAGGCACTAAGGGAAGATTCAGGGTAAGAATAACAATAATACTTAACATTTGCATACCCCTTTGCTTTACAAATATTTCATTTACTCCTCACAGTAATCCTAGGAGATAGGTGCTATTATTATCACCATGTTACAGATGAAGACACTGAGGCAAATAGAGATTAAGTGACCAGCCAAGAGTAGTAAATGTCTGAGGCAGGATATGAATTCAGGTTTTCCTGATTCCAGGTCCAGTACTCTATACTTTGGACTACTTAGCTACCTAGGTGAGAAGGCAACTGAGTCATGATGTGGAATCTGAAAAGTCAGAAGCATAGCTGGGAGGGAATCCTCCAAAACCTCCAAGTACTACTCTGGCCAAAGGGTCATTACAATATGGATGGTTCAATGCCATCTTGCCAGCAATTTGTTTAGCAGAATCAAAGACTAACATTTTAGAGAGCAGATCTGTGCTATTTTCATTTAGGTTTTTGACATGGGATGTCAGGCTTCCCGGTTCCCATTTGGGGAATATTCTCTTATGATCTGACATTGATTCAGCTTGGGTCACATTTTATAAATAGGAATCCATAGAGTTCTGAAGATTCTGAAGAGCAGATCAATGTCCAAATCTCCAAGGAAAAGTAGCTTCTTGGTTGCCAGTTCAGCCAATATTGATTGAATCCTATTTCTCTCTCTCTCCCCCCGCCTTTTTTCATATGTGTGTGTGTGTGTATGTATGTATGTATATATATATATATATGTATATGTATATATATATATGTATATGTATATATGTATAGGATATAGTATAGTATATTTAACTCTACATATACCTGTACTGAAATGGAATATCTTATAGGCCCTAGTAATACCCCTAGGTATTTGTACCAGAATGTTACCATCTCATGTACATATAAGAGGCATATCATATATTAACAAATTTTAAGATTTTAAATCTCTGTGAACAACTCTTTTTTTGGTAAATTTTTTGTTTAAAACTTATATGCAAAATAAGAAAAGAAAAAAGAAACAAATGTAAATATTAAAACTAATACAAAATAAGAAAAGAAAAAAAGCATTGTCATGTACACAGCAGAACATGAGAGAGGATTCAAAATATATAGCAATAAGTTTCCATTTCAAAAAATCCAGCAACTCTTAAATGACAGAAATCAGTGACTTGGTAGGATTTGGTGCAAATAACTTTTAGCAAGTGAAGAATCCATGTACTGGTCAGGAAGAATAGAATCCAAGTATTTCTTGAGATCCATAGAAAGGAATTTTTAAATGAGTTATAGTCTAGCATCTTGCACTAGTACCTCTTGAAGACTGCTAAAATGTTGAAATACTTTCAGAATGGAGAAATTTCTCAAATTGCAGTATTCTGGTCCCCTCACTCTCTAATCTGATTTTCTTCAAAGCTACCACCTGACTGGCAGTTTTGTATCAACCTTTATATACAACATCATAGAACTTTTCCCAATTTGCTCTATCTTTTTGCTATTCAGTATGCTAGAGATTCTGAAAAAGATGCCAAGGTGGGCAAGTGGTGACCATTTCTCAACTGCCTATGCTCCAAGGACAATTTCAAACTAACATGTTAAAGTGTCTTTAGATATACATTTTTAATGCCAAAAACTCTAGTTTTCATGGCCCTTACATATTTATTTTGTAATTTTGTTTGATGCTGTTATGATATGAAAATAACTCTGTCTTCCTGAAGGCTATGCAAGGTACAGCCCTTCTCAATGGTCAGCAAACCAGTGTAAATATGGACGTGCTCATTTCTATTATCCACTAAGTAATGGGGTTTTTTTTCAGCCATAGAAATCCTTGAAATAGATTAAGTTATATTGGAATGGAGGCTTCAAGACTTTTGTAAACAGCAATGTGCAGGTAGTACTATTTCCAAAACTACCTAAAATATACGTAAGAGATTTCAACATCAACACCCTCATATTTAGCTTAGGTGGG